TGACCCGACAGTAAAACTAAACCTATCTATAACTAGTGTAGGTAGTTTGAGAGGTCATTAAAATAGCTACGTGTGATATTCTAACCTGAAGTGTGTGTTTTGTCCGCTCACCGCTGCATGTGATCATGCAGAGCTGCGTGTCGACTCGTCAGCAGCAGCTGATCTCTCTCTCCCGTCAGATTAGACTTCACTCGCGTTTATGTCCATATCGATCAGATCCAGCTAGTTCTAGCTAATGATATGACTACCTGCTTATTAAAAGACACCTAAACAATAAGTGTCGCTATGCAACCGGGTGAGGCCACAAAGTATAGCGCATGCATTTGTTTACATGCCCACCGGAACCCCGAGGCATTACCAACAGATCAACGCACAATCAACCCATACAGGACATCTCTTTCTCCACATTAAGTGTTAGACATTATAATTGACTATTCTTGTCTGTCACATACTCTTCTTGTCTGTCACATAAGTGGCGCAACTGAAGCGGTATTGCGCTAAAGGGAAATTATTTTGACCGGACATTTTGACCGAAGAGATTTAGATTTGCCGGCTAACGGGAACTCTGACGTCGCCATTTTGTGTGCTTCGCGGATGCGCTCGGCTCCTCTCGACTGCTGCTCGGTCAGCTTCCGGATGAGGAGGCATTCGTTCGACCAACTTACAGTAGATAACATTACAAACATTTTTAACAGGGGCCATACTAGTGTAAATAATGTTTGTTTTGGCAGTTATAACTGAATGTAATGTTTTCTACTTTTTTACATCTGGGAAGGCATTTGCCTTCATCAGATGGAAAGTGTCTTGACCAACAACTTAAGTATTTCTTATAGCTATGCAGGGCATGCAAGCGAGCAAACACAAACAAGAACAAACAAACAAGTGAAATTAAGAATAAAATTGAACAATATAATATTGTGGTGGTTCATCTTATAATTCAGTCTAGAGAATGCACCAGACAGCATCTAAGACCTGCAAACATCTAAATGTTCTAGGGGGACGGAGGCCCCCCAAACCCTTCGTGCCATTTCGTCCACGGGCATTTTTCAGGGCAATCTCCATTGTGCTCAGGGCCATCTGTAAATTAGCTTAGACGGCCCACGGGGCCATCTCCCAACATCCTTAATGTCATGCACTGCACTGTTATTAATACTGACACTTCACTTTGCACTAAGGTGTGTCTGCTGCTGAGCCTACCTATTATTGTTATTATATATACACTCTTATTATATTGTTTTGATACTACTGACACTTTATTTTATATTGAAAATGTTAACTTCTGTTTACATTAAAACTTTTAACTTGTATTTACATGCATATGACACACCTGGGACAGCGAGATGCCGTTATTGATATTGTCTGGAGTGTGCAATAAAAGAGAACCTACATGGCGATTAAACAGATCCTGTATCTTGCTTATTTCTCCTCTGACACTTTATCTTTACTTGACCTGTGTAGCATCCTATACATCACATGTAAGTGATTATTCTGATACCGTCATGTTTCATCGGTTATAAACTGGCGAAGCTTTATTTATTGTGTTCCAGCCCAAATATGTGGCTTTGAAAAAGATAATTTCATTGTATTTCAAAATGGCATCCATCAACATAAGCACTACCAGTGTTGTGAGTTCAATATTTTTAATTAATTATAGTAAGGGAACATCTTAGGAGTTAGTGTAGTGAGTTTCAGAGCAGTGTAATAATGATTTGACCTAAAAAAACGTTTTTATGAATGTCCTCTGAGGAGGACATGGGGATTTGCTAACTTTTTATTTCCCCCATTTTACACGACACAAATGGAGGCCACTATGGGCCAAAACTAACACGTAGGTTTCTGTAGGGTTCATGGCAGACGGATGCAGTGGGAAAACATACATCAAGTGCCGATTGTGGCCAAAAGAATGATGCTCGTATCTACAAGCTATAGAAATGCAAAACGGCGTCAGTTTAGACGTAATTCTGTCCTCCTGCTTACCGCATCATTTATGAGAAAACATTTCATAACATTAACACAACATATTCGAGGTGGTTTTCAATAACATATCCGTATTTATTTATTTCTCCAAGTTATGTTTTTGTGTGCACTGAGGAGTCGCAAACAGGCGTTTGTTTAATCATTTTAAGATTGGCTTTAATCAATTTGTGAAAATTAATTCTTCATATATGATAATTATTTATGGTATTATTTCCACATATTTCTCTCCATTCTTTCAACGGTGTCGCAGTTTCTCGTCTCTCCCGTTTTTGTGCTTAGTGCGTACGCATGGGTTAGAGTTTGCGTGGAGGACCGCACGTTTTCCCGTCAAGTTAGTATTTTATAAATCGCAAACATTGCGTAGAAACTGGCGTAAGGCATTTTTTGAGCGTATATCCCTTTATAAATGAGGCCCCTGGTGTCTTTTGATCTTAGTACATTCTGTATTGTTGCAAAGACTGGCAGGTGATCATTTGTGTAATTTGAGTGATCCCCTCTCCTGCAGGGGGGCGTGGTCAGCTGCAGCTCACAGAATCAGCCCCCTGCAAAAACAGGGCTGGAGAGCAGCAAATGGAGCGAAATGAGGCATGGCTAAAATGCATGATCTGTTTGGTATTTTGAAAACAGAAACGTATAAATATACCTTATATAGGTATGGCCCTAAAATATATCATTTAAATATAGCATGATAGGCGTCCTTTAATGTTCAAAAACGTCTTTATTTTTCTCATACTGCCTGTACTTCAGCACCTCTGTTCACCCTCTGTCTGAAACCAGAGCCCAGTCGGTTCCCAAGAAATATTTTAGTTTGCCCGCCTCGTCTTGATATCCTTTACAAAATTCCATGGAAATTCAGTGATCCGCTTTACAGCCGGTGTGTGTGTTTGTGTGTGTATGAGAGCACGCACACATGTCTACGGCCCAGAACAAACACACTGACCGGCCAGAACCTGCTGATGGTGCACCGATCACTCTTGTGTGTGTGTGTGAACTTGTCTACCATCAGGCTTATGCTTATAAATACATTTTGCTGTGTAGAGTGGAACTGCAGTGAGCCTTGGCATAGCACAGCATACTTTTGGGGGCTCAATATTCACCGGTGTGTGTGTGTGTGTGTGTGTGTGTGTGTGTGTGTGTGTGTGTGTGTGTGTGTGTGTGTGTGTGTGTGTGTGTGTGTGTACGCAGTGATACAACAGAGCTGTCAGTGCTCAGTGAAGCTTTATCAGCCACTATCTCTAATACCCCTTTTCCACTGAGTTCCAGTTGGGGGTAGTTTGGTTCGCAGTTGGTCCACCTACCAGAGCCAGAGAAGAGCCACGTCGTGATGTCACTGTTTACATCGCAGTGTGAATATCTCTCTGGAGCTGTGCACGTTATTATTAAACTTACACAGTTAGATTGATTTGCAAGAACGACTTCTCCAACTTTGTACTCAACAGTGACGTGGTTAATAGGTTCAGCCGCAGCTGGTGCTCCACTGGTGTATAGTCCTAGAGTCTCCTTAAGGCAGCTGCTACTAACAAGTGTGATCTATATAGCTGTCTTGCCAGTAACGCCCCCTGATGCATATTAACCCCAAGAGTTAGAGGTCCGCTGCAACCCTCATCTCTTTAAATCCAGGCTGATATTTTTGCTGCTGCTTTTAAATAAATCGATTCATATTTTACACTACACTGTCATTTTTGTTCAGTTGTATTCTATCAGTCTATTTTAGCCTATTTTATTTTTATATTATTCTGATCGTTTTTTTACGACAGTTTTTAATCACGCTATGATGTGATCCCGCTGCACTTTATGTAAATGCTTTTTATCTTTTTGTAAAGCCCTTTGAATTGCCTTGTGTTGAAAGATGCTATATAAATAAACTTGCCATGCTTATTCAATTTTTGTCGACAATGTTTGGTAACATAATACCACCAATAAAGGATTGTATAATGTGAAGTTTCTTCTGTGTTATATGGATGATGAAAAAAACCTCCAATAACCGATACATGTATAACCGACAGTGGCTCAGTCAGTAGGGGCTTGGATTGTGAGCTGTAGGGTTGCCGGTTCAAGTCCCCGACCAGACCTAAATATGGAGTGTGGACTGCTACTTGGAGAGGTCCCAGTTCACCTCCTGGGCCCTGCTGTGGTGCCCTTGAGCAAGGCACCGGACACTACCCCTCCCCCCTCACTCCCATTGCTCCCCGGGCGCTGTACAATAGCTGCCCACTGCTCCTAGTACTTGACTCCTGGTACTAGGATGTGTGACCATTAAAGAGGGTTTCATCCCTCTTCTTCTATTATATTCCTTTAATAAACATTGTTAACCTGTTCAGCCCCCGACGGCAGGGCTTTTTTTTCCCGAAACTGTGTCTCAGGGCTTCATAACATTAAACAACCTATTAATGTGTCAGAAACTCAGCTAACTGACGATATGAACCATTTCTACCGAAACAAAACACAACTCTAACGCCAAGCGTCTGAATTAGCACTAACGCACTTAGCACATGTAAACATGATGGGCTTAATCCTAGTCTTCACAGAGTTGCGTACAGTCAAACAGGGTAATCCTGTAGTGGTCTGTGAATGTGGTGTGGTCCTTTTCCCACGCTCCCTCTCCCTCACAGGAGAACTTCATCTAATGTCCCAGTCGTGAAGTTCAGACTGTACAACACTGTGGGAATATCATAACACATGGCCAAGAACAATTTCCTGATTCACTCAGCTCAGCATTAGCAGGATTTCATGCTGGATTTGTCGGCCTTCGCTCATACAGCCAGAGAGAAATCAGGGAGCAACAACAAACACGGGTTTAAGTGGATAATGAACGTACTGTTGAGTTTTGGCAACTGGAAAAGCAGACGCTGAAGAATTGTAAATGTTATATTTGTTTTCTGTAATCTCTGAAAAGGGATATTTCTGTTTAATTGGTCCTTTTTAATCCCTCTTTCTCAAAAAGGGATATATTTTTATCTCTCCTCGAGTCCTGTGTGCAATTCAGTAGCTAGTGCAAGCGTGCGTGGTGTGAAGAACTTTACCTGGTCATACTCCAGCGCTCCAGGGTAGAGGGGCCAGCCCAGAAAGAGCTCGGAAATCACACAGCCCAGTGACCACATGTCAATGGCCTCGCAAAATGGCAGGCCCAAAATAATCTCTGGAGCCCTGCAGAGAGAAAAGAGAGGCGGAGAATGTTACTCTTTTGGAGATGGTCACAATGTTCAAAAAAACAAACTTGTAAATCACTGTCACAGCCTTGGGGGGGACAACATGTCTATGTTATCACAAGAGGGTCAGGGCTAGGGTCTCTGCAGCTGATGTTCTGCAGAAAATGTTCCTGGAAAACCAAAATATATTAAAGTGCAAACCCTGTCAACCACATAAAATCAATAGTAGGGGGACTTGTGGATGCAAAACAACTACTACAGGGTATATGCAGGAATCCTGTAGCCACATTTAATACCTTTTAAGACCTTTTTTAAGACCCATTCCATACATTTTAAGACCTCATCGCAACTTCGAGTTCTAACCGGTTACATTGGCGACACACTTTACCTCACATTTACTACAGTATTTATTGTAAGATAGCACAACTAAACAGCTTGTGATAACTCCTTATCATAATTCAGATAGAACAAAGCACAAGAGAATGAATTGTGTGACCAACCCAATGCAAGGTTTATTAGAAAAATAAACCATTAGAAAGTTTGATTTAGGCATTCTTCCCAAGAGATAAAACAGACAGACTACTGAAGCCTCCTCTCCACATGAACTTCAACCTCTCTGTGAAGGTCAGGTTTAATGCAGTATGCTGCTTTGTTGCTTCTGTACTCTGTGCTCTTTCATTCCAGTAGAACTCCTCAGAAACCATTAGAAACCAGGATTTGACCAACAAACAAAACAATTGACAAAACTTTGAACTATGAAATATATTAAACTTTGAACTATGAAATATATTAAACTTTGAACTATGAAATATATTAAACTTTGAACTATGAAATATATTAAACTTTGAACTATGAAATATATTAAACTTTGAACTATGAAATATATTAAACTTTGAACTATGAAATATATTAAACTTTGGTGAGCTTCAGCGGGGTAATGCCATATAGGAGCTCCCTCGCAAATACCCAGGCTGTCCGGGGCACATAGGACGATGCTCTGACGTCATCACCCTCGCACATTTGTCATATGTTTACAAAAAACGATATATGTTGAGACTTTTCCCGTTGTTAATATAGACTATATTTAGGGTCGATATGTGTTGACCTTACTTTAAAATAGCAGATCTCTGTGACCGGATATAGTTTTTTTGCTTAGTGAACGTGTGTCTCTTCCTTGGAGGAGCAGCATCGCTCGGACTCCGCTGCTCCTCCGTGCAGAGAGTCTGCAGCGGTGTGTTTCAGCGACGTGCAGTCAGGGGAGGCACGGATTGGCCATCGGGAGAGTCGGGAGCACTTAGCATGTGGGACCGGACAGCTTTGATCCCCATCGACAGTGGCAATTCTAGACTCTGTGGGGGCCCCCTTTATGTGCAAAATAAATAAATATAATAAATAAGCATGGCACATAACTGTCCCCATGCAAATAAATACGGTCTCTTTAACAACAGGATATAGAGGGCTCATTAATTGAACATTAAATGCATCGATAATGCAACAAAGAACTAAATCTGTTTCGCCAATGGACTTTGCCACTTACGCAAATCAAATGGGACTGGTAATCTTGCAGCGGTAGTGTTAGAGGTGTATAAAAACAATAGGCTATTAGGCCCGGTCACAGCAGCAGGGCAACAGGGCTGCAAATAGTAACCACTGCTGTGACAACCGCAGGGAACTGGTCTGTTGCCAGGCAACGACCAAACGCTCAGGACCATAATGTAACAGTATTACAGGGTGATAAATGGGCCACTGCTCGTTGTTGCGTATGTGTGTCACTGTGACGTGTGTGCGTTTCTATGTGCGAATGTATGTATGTGTGCAAACACACCAGTGCAGATGTCCATCACAGTAACAGCGCAGGCTTTCTAAATGAGGAAATTACACACTGCCATTTCCTATTGCTCCTTTCAAGAGGCCCAGTAAGAGGTCAGTAAGAGTAAGTAAGAGGCCCAGTTATGCAATACCTAACAGAGCTTTGTATTAGACTGCATCAAATATTTACAGAACAATCTTGCCAAGCAGTGACTAAGGCCCCGTCCACACGGAGACGATATCAGTTGAATCCGCTAACGTTCTCTATCGTATAGACGGTTCGTCCACACGAGGCCGACACGGAAACTCGGATTCGGGATACCCTTTGATTACGGCTCCCAAAGTGGGTAGGTCTGAGGACGAAACGCTTGCGGCTCTGCATGTATGCCCTATATGATCATTCCCTGAAAACGATGACGCCATAGCCCCGCCTCTCCTGCTCACCCCCGCGTCATTGCTGATGCGTTTCGCCAATAACAACAACAACAACAACAATGGCGGATCACAGGGTTGCGTTGGTGCTCCAGACGCTACTGACCATGATACAGATGTTTGTGCAAAATCCACAGCTCTTCTACCACAACCATCAGCAACAATAATAATATGATATAATAATAATAGTCATCGGTCTTATTCGCTGCTTTTGGTTTATTTTGTGGCGGAAGTACATCGCCACTTACAGGCCCAGCATATGTACTACAGCGTCTCCAGCGGTCTCGTGTGGACGGACACGTTTCTTAAGCCGATTCCGTGTGGACGGAAGACTTTTTGTTGATATCGAATTTGGTTCGTCTCCGTGTGGACGGGGCCTAAGAAAGGGATTGTTGTGTTCTTATTTTGAAAAACCCCACAGTAGTTTTAAATGGTACGATAAAAAGATGATCACAAAAAAATTGTGTTTGGACTCAAAGGAAAATAATAAAATAATTCATCAGATGAATTCAGACCCAATTCAGGCTCAATTCTGCTTCTTTTTTTCTGTAGTGTGTTATATAGGTTTTTGTGCATGTAAATGCCTGCAACGCGTTGGTTGGACTTTGTTTACATTTCATGACATCACTATGTAACAGTCGCAGCAGATTGGGCTCTGGTTTAAGACACAGGGTGAAATGAGGTGCTGCAGCACAGGCAGTAGGAAAAAAACCTTTCTGAACATTGAAGCATGTAAACACCTCACAGTAGAGGCACAGGATACAAATATCAACCTGAAAAGTAGCATTTAACAAGCAGAGGAAACAGATTCATTAGAATTATATTAAGCCTGTAGGGAAGTTAGCATAGTAGTGTAAACAAGCTACACACTGGCTGAACAAATACCACTTATTTCAAAATTAGGAAAACTTACAGAAGATTAACAAGCCAAATCAGTTGATTGCTTAAGTTTACAAAAAAATGATGAAGTCAAATAAACTATGAGGACGAGGAAAAAGATTTAAGGAGGTTATGGTTTAAATTGCACTTTTGTCTTACATCCATTGGTTGTTTTATGTTTGAGGTCAACAAGAAAGCAGATGTAGTTTTACAGCAAGATTTGACCATTTATTTTGAATAACTTTACAAGTTTACAATAACAAACCTAAAAAAGGATAGTGTGTGTTGTTGTTAACAAACACAGCCCGTAACACACCCACAAACACACACCCCCTGTCAGGCGTTTGGCAGACAGACCAGGTTCCAGAACTAACCGTTCACACTAGAGAGCCGCAATTGCACAAAAGAACAAACACTGCACACTGTATGGCAACACACCCCTATGGGCTCAGAACAGTCTCATAATACACACATGCACACAGAAGGATTCACACTTGTATTTCATGATCCGCAAAAGGATCCACACTTGTGTTTTCCAATGCACACAAATGTGTTCCGTTTCATATACATGTAAATAAAATCCAAATACAGAAAAAAGTTTTACATATGTATTTTTGATCCTCATATATTTGTTTTCCGTTTAAATCCCCTGAACCTGCAAACACAAACAGCTTTCTGTGCACGGATCGCTGTGCATTCGTGTGTGGGTTTTTTGAGACTCCCCTGACGGTCAGCCGATTCGTACTTGTAATTTTTTCTATCTATAGCCAATCAGATGTCTCCTCAATTCTAAGCCAATCACATCAGCGCGCCCCCACGAGGGTATGATTTCTTGCGTAGACGTAGAGCTTCATGTACGCATTTTGCACAGTCCGGTCAGCTCGCTAAACAGAGGGCGGAGCATCGGGTGATCATGCAGAGCAGCGTGTCTCCGTCAGACTCAGCAGCTGATCTGATCTCTCTCGCGTCCGGTTATACTTAACTCGCGTTTATGTCCATATCGATCAGATCCAGCTCTCCTGGTCGGCCTTTATAGAGAGCACCGATCAAACTATTAAGAGTGAATATCGGCCGATAATGACCGGCGGGGCTCCCCCCGTTCACTGTCTAGCACTGGCTTCATAGTGCACTGATCGATTAGGCTAAGCTAACCTGTAGCTGCTCCTCCACACTCACAACAACTTCATACAGACATAAATAAAGCAGCTGTATTCGCCACACAGGAAACACATTTAAAACGGTTTTGCCTGCCGTTTTTGTGTACACAAGCATTCATCAAGGGTTTGGAAAGTGGCGCTGTACCTTAATAATATAAAGGCTTGTATTTGCGTACATTTCCTGTTCGGAAGTGGCGAGTGGAGGGTGTCCTGAGATTAGCGCCTGCAGGCAGGCTCCATTGACCTGTCAGCTCCGGACTGCGCAAAATGCGTACATGAAGCGCTACGTCATGAACGCAAGAAATCTACCCTTGTGGGGGCGCGCTCATGTGATTGGCTTAGAATTGAGGAGACATCTGATTGGCTATAGATAGAAACAATTACAAGTACGAATCGGGTGAGTCTCAAAAAACCTGCACGAATGCACAGCGATCCGTGCACAGAAAGCAGTTTGTGTTTGCAGGTTCAGAGGATTTAAATGGAAAACAAATATGTGAGGATCAAAACTACACAACGTTTCTCTGTATTTGGATTTTATTTACATAAATATGAAATGGAACATATTTGTGTGTGCATTGAAAAACACAAGTGTGGATCCGGAAATACAAGTGTGAATACTTTTGTGTGCATGTGTGTATTATGAGACTGTTCTGAGCCCATACACCCCTGCTGTGTACAGAGAACTGAGATAACTAGGATCAAATACACCTAAGGCACGAAT